CCAAGCTATTTGTTGCCTATAATTGCAGCGTTGGAACTGGGCTGTTGGGAGTGGGTGGGTGCAGGTGCTGGTGCAGCAGGGCGCCCAACCCTGCCACGCCTCTGCTGCCTGCTGCTGTTAACCACGATAGAAATGGAATCTGCCAGCCCAGCAGCTCTGGCGGGTGGGAACTGAGGGAGCTTTAGGAGGCAGAGAAACAGATAACAAGCATGCCAGCCAATCAGAAAGTGCCTGGAAGGGCGAGTAGCCAAACAGGAAACCCGTAACTCAGAGCTCTGCAGAGGGACGTGCTGCGTGGGCCCAGGCACTGGGAGGTGGGGGTAGGGGGGAGACAGTGGGCTCCGGCAGGGATAGATACTTGCCTTCATTCCTGCCAAAATGTTGCCACAGTGGAAAATACAGTTTTCCACAACAGGCCACTGCGACTTTGCCTGTGCTGTACCCTTTGGCCTAGAAGATGCAATTGCCCCACTCTTGGGGAAGAGGCTGGTTTATTGAGGTCTGGGAAGTCAGGGTATTAGAGTGGAAGAGAGGTGTTAGAGCTCATCCTCAGGGTCTTTGCAGGCAGGCACGTGTAGACATGGCCGTTCCTCTTCCACCACCAACTTCTGCCCCTGTAGCATCTCACACACTGAAAATGGTTTCCCCCAGAAGGTCACGTTCTTCTTACCTTGGCCTTCAACGATGGTAACAGTGGGCCTGAGGCATTAGGAGGGAATAAAGGGGAGAAGCTCAGGGAAGGCAAGAATGCATTCAACAAACTCTTATTCAGTGCATACTATGTGCCCAACACTATTTTTTAACTGTGAGATACTGGGCAATTTCTTTACCTTCCCTATGCCTCACTTTCCCTCATCTGAAAAATGGTAATAATGGAAATAATAATAATACCCACCTCAGTGGGCTGAGTGAGGATAAGTGAGTTAATTCAGGTAAGCTGCTCAGAGTGGTGTCTGGTACACAGTAAGTACTCAATAAATGCCGGTGATTGTTACTAGTTGACATAAGCTACCTTCTCTTACATCCAAAACCTTTTACATCTCTCTCCCCATCGCCCACTAGAAAAAAAACAAATGCTTTGCCCTGGCATTCAAGGCCTTGTTGCTGTGACCAAATCTCTGCCTCAAGGCAATCAGTCTCTCTTCTTCTTTATCCAAACTCAGTCCTGTGTCCAGAATGGTCTTTGCCTGGGTTATTTCTCCCACTAGGCAAGCCCTCCATTCACTCACATCCTGATTTTCTTAATCAGCCCTTTCTCCATTCATTCCTTCATTTTGTCAAGTCCTTCATGACTCCACTTAACACCCCTAACTCATCTTCAGGACCCATTGTAAACCCCACAGCTGGAAACCACTTTCCAGACTGTAGGCCTTCCATGAGTTGGGGAAAAGCCATTTAATCTAGTAGCTTGATGTACGCTATGTGGAAATAAGAAGGGATGAGTGGGCATTTTAATCCTTTCTCACACCTGGGCTACCCTGGCCACCAGAAAACACTTTGAGTGGCTGATCAATCATCTGTGTCCAGAATTCTGTGTACACAGTCTTGACCCCTTCCTGTCAGGGGAGGCCCAGTTTCCTAGACCCAGGTTTAGGTGGCAGTCCCTTTTCCACATACCAACCATTCTTCACATGCTTTCTATCAGGGCTCTAAGTGGATCTCTTCGGAGATCCACGGGATCTGGGTTGTGTGTGCCTGCAACTGTTGCCAAAAAGGCCTTAGAGTGCCTGGGGGCAGTGAGATATTGAATGAGACATCGAGTCACCCATGGAAGCATGGGTGACTGAAGGAATAAGTGAATGGAGGCATGAGAGACTGAGTGACTGAAAAAGCCGAGCCACCCATGGAAGCATGGGTGACTGAAGGAATAAGTGAATGGAGGCATGAGAGACTGAGTGACTGAAAAAGCCAATCAAAGCATGGGCAACTGAGAGAGCAGAGCAAATGGACACATGAAAGACTGAGTGAATGGGGGAATGGCTGAGTGACTGAATGAGTGACTTAAGGGCACAAAGGCTACTAGCTCTCCCATCGATATATCTTTTTTCTCAGCTTCTTCTTTAGTGTCCCCCCACTTCCTACAGCTGGGAAATGGCACTGGCCAAGGCAGGCACCTTAGTGGTTGGGGGTAGCTGACTCTTCCGCCCTGAAAGCTGACATAGTAATATCATTGCCCCTTCTTAGGGACACTGCCTCTTCACTCACGAGAACTTGGGGAGATGGGCCTTGCAGAGGCGCTGGCGAGTGCGGATGGGGTTGGGTCCACATGGGGGTGTGCACAGCCCCCAGGTACTCCACTCTGACCATGAGCCTTCCCCTGCAATGAGAAGAGGTAGTTACTGAGTCAGAATTAGTGGTCTCAGGAGGTTGGTAAGAAAGAGACTGCAGGGACATGGGGTCCAGGGTAGAGAGTCAGAACCCCCCATCGCTTCATGGGCTGCCCGTCCTCACTGCATAGTCTGGGGAGCACTCACACGGGCAGCGCTGGATGTTGTAGCAGTGCCGGATATCCTGTTGATCCCCGGGACATCGATGTCCATTAAACTTGCGGCCCTTGCAGCTCCTTGAACGTGTCTGCTGGCCTGGGATCTCCAGACAGCTGATCTGTTTCATCTTCGGGCGGACACAAGTGCTCCATTCTTCCCAGGGCCCCCACTCTCCATTCACTGCAGAGACAGGGTAGCAGGGGCTCACAATAAAGAAGGGAGCCAGGAAGGAGGTTGAAAAGAAGTAATGAGCACTGGGGAATGAAATGGCGGTGATCAGATGTGGGAATGGGGGATCAGAGATGGAACCAAGACATCAGGGTCAGGAGTGGACAGATTTGAGGCAGGACCAGGGCGTTAGCAGCAGGAACAGGGCAGCAGAGAAGGGTGATGGGCTTAGGCATGGAAATGGTGCATCTTGAGGTGCTTGCTGACCAGGGCAGGAGACGCCTGTGTTGCAGACGTGGATCCGGGTGTCATCACCGACACAGAAGGGGCCCCCGTGCTTGGGCACAGGGTGATCACATGTCCGTTTTTCCATGGTCTGGCCTAGGCCACAGGTCACCGGGCAGGGACTCGCTGGGCCCCATGGCCCCCAGCCTCCAGCCACTGTTGGGGGAAATAGAAGTGAGGGAAGGGCCACCTCAATCTCCCTGCTTCAGCCCCTCCTAGACCCCTGAGGCAGACCGTCCCCAAATGAAGAGGTACATGGTGACATGGTCTAAGATTTATCTCATGAAATGGCAGTGCATCTGTGCCCAAATTAAGATTAGAGTGTCAGAGGCCTTATCCATATGTACCTGGGCAAGGCGGCAGGCCACTGCAGTCCCGCTGCTCATAGGCTGTCCCTGGGCACTGCCTCCCAGGAGGCTCTGTGGAGGGCTTAGGTGCAGAACACATGCGGCTTCGTCTTTCCACAGGTGCGTTGGGTCCACCATGGCAGGAGCCTGAGCAGGGGCCCCAGGGGCCCCAAGCAGCCCAGGCCCCATGTGCTGTTTTGGGGTAGGGTGGAAAAAGGCCAAGTGTGGTCATGCGTGCTGAAGTCCTCCTACCCTCGCAGTCCCCTGCTATAACCCTCAGATCCACCCTGGGTGCCTGCATCAGTGCCCTGTGGTTGCCCTCACTCACTGGGGCAGACCTTCTTCGTGTCACAGGCCTCTGATTCTTCTGCCTTTCCTGGGCAGTGGCCCCCACACTTGGGGGTAGGCTGATCACATGTTCGCTGACGGGTCCGGGTCCCTTTGGAGCAGGTGACAGAGCAAGGCGCCCAGGGCCCCCAATCGGACCAGCCACCCATCTCTGTGGGAGAGAAGGGGAAAGGATGGAGGTGGGGGTATCATTCAGGGGTCCTCACTTCCTCCTGTACCCCACATCAGCTAATCCTATCCTACATTCTCTGTCACAGTTGGTTCACCACCACTGCTCATCTGGACTATTATAGTAACCTGCACACTCATCTCTTTGCTTCACCTCTCACCACAGTTTGTCTTCCTCCTGACAGTGAGGAGGTCACACCCGAAGTCAGATCACGTTTTTCCTCTGCCCATAACCCATATCACTCTAAGTAAAAGCCAACATACTCACCATGGTCCACAAGGATTAGGCTCCCTTTGACCTCACCTCCTACCACTATCCTCCAGCTACACTCTGCCTCCTCCTTAGAGCCTCACAAACATCAGGCACAGTCCCACCCTCAGGGCCTCTGTCCCGATTGTTCCCAGTGCCAGGTAACAGGCAGTGTACATCTGCCTTGCTGATCCTTCTCACCAGGACAGCATGGCTGGTCCTCACAGGCCTGCAGCTGCCACTCCAGGGCCCCAGGCTGCACTTTCTCAGGGCACTGTCCGTCCCAGCCTATGCAGCGCCGGTGCCGCAGCTGGGAGCCCTCACCGCAGGTCACTGAGCAGGGAGTCCACTTCGACCACAGTGACCACCGTGGGGACCTGCAGAGAGAAGCATATATGTCCCATCCTGGTGAGAGCCGGCAAGGATAGTGTACAGAACTGCAGAATGTGGGCAGGCATAGGCGTGGGTGTGGGATAAATATGTGTGAAATAATGAGAATACCTACCTCTTAAGGATATTGGGGGACTGAATGGGAAGAGATGGACACACAGTAAGCACTTAATAAACATCATTTACTTTTATGATCAGAGACCTGGAGCTACCCTTTGAAGTTCCCCAAGGACAGTGCCTAGCATGCAGTAAGCAAATATAAGGACTAGGGGCCCAGAACTGCTGTCAGAAACCCACTGGGCAACCACTGTACAAACAGGAAGTACTTAATAAAGCAGTTAGAAAATATGTCTGGCATACAGTAAATGCTTAATACATGTAAGCTGGCATCATGATTAGGAGACTAGAGCTACCCTCAGAAATCCTCCTGCTGCACCCAACATCTGCAATGCATCTGTTATGCTGGAAGTGCTCAATATATGTGAAGTGTCACCATAATTAGGGGCCTGGAGCTACCCTCAGAATTCCCCAAACTCTCCAGCCTCCAAAATGCATCTGTATACAGTAAGCACTCAATACAAGCTGTCATCACAATTAGGGGACATGAGTCACCTTCAGAAATACCCGAGCTACACTCCATCCTCAATGCTTCCAGTATGTAGGAAGTGCTCATTATATGTAAGCCATAGCAGTGGTTCTCAACCAGGGGTGATTTTGCAGCAAAGGGGACATTCAGCAATGTCTGGAGACATTTTGGTTGTAACTGGTGTGGGGAGTTGCTACTAGCATCTAATTAGAAGCCAGAGATGCTACAAAACACCCTGCAATGCACAGGTCACCCCATGCCCCAAACCAGTAATAATTTTCTGGCCCCAAATGTCAATAGAACCAAGGCTGAGAAACCCAGAGCTATGGTTGTGATCAGGGTCTCAGAATCACCCTTGGGAATCCCAGAGAAGAAAAAGAGTACAGTTCTGCCTCCCCCCAACCCCAGGCTCCCCCTAACCTGCATGACTGACAGAGCTTGCTGCCAGGTTCCTGGAAGGCGTAGGCAGAGTTGAGACAGCAGTCTTCCACACGGATATTTTCCCCCAGGAGGCCCTTGCACTTGCCCGAGGATTCCTCATACTGGGTGAAGCAGAGAACGGGGTCTGAGCCTGTAACAATGTGGGTAAAAGGGGGTATGGTCAAGAGTGTGATGGGCCCGGGCACCCCTGGTGGCCAGCTAGGCTCACCCACTCACCTGTGGCTGGCAGGGTGAGTAACAACAGCAGTGGCAGCAGTAGCAGCAACCAAGAGGCCTGTGCTGGAGTAGGCATGTTGAGCACTGCACTCCTGCAGCCCCGCCTGGCTTTATGTGAGTTGACCTGCTCTGGGTGTCAGTGGGAAAAGAGGAACCAGGGCCAGGAGGAACTGGGAGGGCAAAGAGTAATAAGGGGGGAGGAGGGCAGGTCTTTTCAGCTTCCACCTCTCCCTTGTCACCTCTGCCTGCCCATGAGCTACCTCCTCTACTCACCCCTCCTTACTTCCTGTCTCACTCTTGGTCCTGTTTTGTTTGTCACTGTATCCCCAGCACCCCATGCCCCACCCAGCAACCCTTCAGCACTCAATCAATGCTCTTTGAACAAATTCTGAGGGGAAATGGAGTATAGGAGTTTGGAGCGAGATGAACTTCCTAGCTGTGTAACCTTGGGCAAGTCACTTGAACCTCTCTGAGCCTGTTTCTTCACCTGAAAAATGCATACTCTCTACCATGACAGGATCAACAAGGGTGAAATGAGTGTGGCACGCTCAGTGTGTCCCTCCTCATGGGGTGGAATGGGCATTGAAATAATTGCTTCATTCTGCATCCTGACTTAACCCACCTTCCTCTTTCCTGAAAGGGAGGTTCCCTGTGGTCAGCATGGGGGAGGTCAGCACAAGGGAAGTGAGAAGGGGAAGTAACAAGAGTATGGGGAGGATTCAGGAGTGAATTGGGGATATCCAGTCCCAGGAGCCCAGCTGGGGACACCTTCAGGGCCTGTGGAGGGGGTGGTTGGAAGGGAACCGGCCTAGTCATGTTCCATCACAGTAACTTGGGCAGGTGACATCCCCCCTCGCTGGGAACTACATATAGGGTTTGTTGTGAAGGTTGGGAGCTAAGATTTTTTAAGTCCTTAGCACAGTGCCTGACATAGAGTAGATGCTCTGTTTGTTAAACACATTTATCCAACATTTATTGGGCACCTATTGGGTGTCAGATGCTGTTCTCGGCATTGGACATAGCATAGAATAAGACAGCCCTAAATCCTGGTCCTCAAGGGGCTTCCACTCTAAAAGACACAGATAATAAATGTCACCTCCCTCAGAGGCCTTCTCCAGATATCCTTTTTATATGGCACCCCAGTCACTCTCTAGCCCAGTGGCTCTCAAATCTTAGTATGCATCACAATTACCCAGAAGGTTGGTCAAATCATAGATTGCTGGGCTGCACCCCGGTTTCTGATTCTGTAGATCTGGGGTCAAGAATGGACATTTTTAAGAGGCTCCCAGGTGACAATGATGCTGCTGGTCTGGGAACCACACTTTAAGAACCATCATTTTAGTCCCTGACCACTCTTTTCCTTTGTAGGTCTCATCTAGAAAAAGTATTCTACGTGCTCCTTATTTTACTGTTAATAATGAATTCCTCTTCAACCTATTTTCCATGCAGGTAAAACTGAGCTCCACGGACCTGCTATCTTTTTATAACCCCTAATGAGTGAAACTCCAGAGCCATTTTAAAAGCAATAATCTTTTAAAGTAACAATACGGTGTCTAAGAAACATAGGAAGGCAATTTCCCCTGCCCTCAGAGGGAGAAATGCCATTCTGCAAATTAAAACAAAGTAAAAGCATTTGATTCGGTCAGGGTTAATGTTAAAACAGAACTTTCTCGAGAATATTGATCTTGTTTTATGGGCGACAAGGTGTGTTGACATTGAGATGTACTGTTTCCTGGTAACATAAGCCTGTCTCAGAAAGTGTGCTTTGAACAAAGAGGTCTTGTTAGCATTCCAAGGCCTCAGACATCAGTGCTGTGTTATTCTGTGAAAACAAATTCAAGAAACCTGTACTTCTGGTTGGCTGCTTTATCTAATCACACGTTGCCCTGGTAATAATGTTATAACTGATATTTCCTTTGTTCCTAAACTGTATAAACACTCATAGGATTCCCTGTGGAAAGCGACTGTCGGCACTTTCATCTTCTCCCACACGTTTGGGAAATAAAATGACTCTGCAGATTTCTTATTTAAACAAAGAGTGAGAGTCTTGTCTCATGTAATTATTGCACTGCCACTTTGTATGATGTATTTATCTGTTTTTTTGTCTGTGGCCCTCACTCAAATTCCAGCTGCACAAGAGTAGGGACTTTTGTCTGGTGTGCTAACCGCTGTGTCTGCAGGGCTCAATAAACATTTTGCTGAATGCAGAAATAAATGATATGAAAAAAAAACTTTAGAGATTCTGTGAAGTACTAAGAGGAACAGTTTGGGTTAGAGATAAAAATGTGGGCATCACAGGGGTGGGGGGATATATAGTGTTTCATGTTCCCAGACTGGACCAGAGCTCATGAGAAGAGGGAAGGGAACCCAGGCAAAGCCCCGGGGAAGTCCAGCATTTCAAATTTTGGAGAACTAAGTGGAAATGGAGCATAGGGGCTGAGGAGGAAGAGCCTGCAGAGGATGAGGAAAACAGGAGAGGGCCTTCTCACAGCCCTAGCACATCTGGTCCATGGCTTCTCATGTAGTCTCATTCGGTCTCATAATTTTCTCTATTTTTAAACACAGTTACACACACAGTTCTGGATTTATAGCCTCTACTATAGTCTCTTATGAACAGGCTCACATACATAGTGGATCACACAGCTTCTCAGACACTCCCAGTCACTCACTCCAGGAGTCATTTTCTTTGTCACTGATTTCCAGTCTTACGGCTGTCTCCTACTAACAATTCACTCACACAATCATGTCCTTTTCTTTGTTTTGTTAATCCTCACCCGAGAATATTTTTTCCGTTGATTTTTAGAGAGTGGAAGGGAGGGAGGGAGAAGGAAAAGGAGAGAGAAAGAGAGAGAGGGAGGGAGGGAGGGAGGAACACCGATGTGAGAGAGACACAGTGACTGGTTGCCTCCTGCACGCACCCTGACTGGGCCAGGGATCGAACCTGCAACCTAGGTATGTGCCCTTGACCAGGAATTGAACCCGTGACCCTTCTTCGGTGTGAGGGCTGATGCTCTAACCATTGAGAACACTGGCCAGGGCCATGATCATGTCTTACAGCCTGTCTCATTTGGCCAATATGACCAATATTTACTTGCACCAGTCACTTTTCCACATGCACACAGAGTCACACTTTTTGATAAGACGTTTCAACCACTTACGCCTTCATTTTCTCACATATACAAATAGTCACTGACTTACAGCCATCACTAGCTTCTCATAGTTTCTTGCACACACACAAAATCACCCTCTCTCCTACCTCTTCACACTCAAGGCCCCACTTCACATACCCACAGTCTCTGATTATAGCTAAGAGTTTCACACGCATACATAATCACAAAGTATCTCAGACACTGTCTTAGTTGCTTAGTCTCACATTTCTTCTCAAGTAGCTTCCAACATACTAGCCTTTTGATTTACAGACTTTAAGAAAGTCTCTTGGAAAGCGTTTTACACATACCCACACAATCGGTTTCTCAGACACTGCCTCAGTCACCCATTCAGTGTTATGATCACTTTCCCTCAGTCAGTTTCTGACATCTGTGGTCACTAATTCACAATTGTACTAGGCTCTCAAAAAGCCTTATACACACAGTCTCTCATGGCCTTAGTCATTTACACCATCATTTTCATCAGGCAGCCTATCATGTACACTCAAAGATAATTATAGCTTTGCTGGTTTCTTGTACACACCAATCACATGGTGTACCATACTCTCAGTTTTTCACAAAAACATAGTCTCTGATTTACACTTTTATGAAACATTTCACAGACCCGCACACTCTCACACAACTGCTCAATTTTCTTTCACACAGAGCTGACTTTGTGGTTACTTATCATCTCTCAGTTATGTGGCCTCTTGCACCATTTCAGACATACTCAGTCTCATCATCATTTTCTCTCTTATATTCACAGTCCCTGAACCTGTGGGCTAGACTGGAGTAGTAACTGTCAATTAATTTGCCACTAGTTTTAGGTACATATACATAATACACACACACACACACACACACACAATTACAGCCTCATATACTTTCCCAGTCACAGACATTTTTTCTGTTTCTCAGTCTTTGCTAGTCTCACATGAATAGCATTCATACACATAATCACACATTCTCGCATTTTGTGTCTCAGGTGCCCATCTAGCCTCACAGCCATTTTCTCACACGTATATTCCTGTGACTTTAGCTGATACAACGGCCTTGCAAGAACAGTTCACACACAATCCATCTCCCAACACTGAGTTACCTGCTTACATACAGTGAAGTTTTTCACCTACACACTGTCTCTGACAAGCTCTACCACACTTTCATGCCCACAGGCTCCCACACCTTGCTTTGATCACTCAGTTTGTCTTGCTCACCATCGTTCTGTCAAACAGTGACCAGTATGGAGTCCCTGCTACCTTCTCATAAACATTACTTTACACACACCGCCAGTTTCTTGTACAGTATCTTAATTACTCACACAATTTTTCACACAGACACAATGTCAAGTTTGTGGTTACAACTTCCATTCTCTCATACACGATTTCATACACACATATACATGCAATCATAGCTTTCTAGTTTCTTTTTCACACCTGGTTACCAATCTGGAGTCTCTACTACTGTTTCTAATACACGGTATCATACTCTCTCTCATAATCAATCTCACATCTTCACCGCCTTTTATACATAGTAATGTCTGTCACACTCAGTCCCCACGGCTTCAGGGAAAAAAATGCTAGCAGCCTCCAGCATCACCTTTAAAAATATATATTTACAAGAACAATTCCCCATTCTCTGGGACTCTTAGAAAAAAAAAAAAAGATCCATTTGGGGGGAAGTAAAACAAACAGTGGAGACGGGTACAGCACCGTCCCCCAAATCACCAACCCCCAGGTTCCCCAGGCCTGGGCTGGGCCGGTGCTGACAGGCAGTAAGCCTAGGAGTCCTTTGAACCCAACCTCTCCAGCCTGGAATTCAGATAGGACAGGCTTTTTCCCTCCTGTTCCTCCCTCCCAACTCCAGGGACACTTAAAGGGTCCTTTGTACCCGCCCGCAGGAAATTGGGGGGCTGGGAGGGAGGGAGCTGAAAATACACATTTGGTATCAAAAATAAACACTTGGGGGCGGCAGGAAGATTC